GGATCTAGTTCAGCCGAAGATTGTTGCAGGGCGGTATTAAAGTATTCTGTTGGCCTTGGGAAGACTGACTATATATCAACTCTGAATTAGGATATTCACCACTACCAAAACCATCAAAATTTGCGAACCCGAACCAGCGGCTACACCTTCTGTGGTAATAAAGTACTCACGTTTAATATTCACTTTACTGGGATCTTCGGGTAAACCTTGGGTGCTAAAAACCGATAGTGCAGGTACAGGATCTTCTACTTCTAGACTAGAATCCGAGGGAGCAAATGTTGAACTTAAAGCAGCCGAAGCTAAAACTGTTGCGGGATATGCAACAGAAGCGCTGAGTTTTAAAGTGTCACCACTATTAAGACCCACTTTGGGCGAGACTACACCATTTCTATGTTGGTTGTTGTCTCCACTACCAGTGAATTCAAAGCTTTCTGCTGTGTGTTGGTTATGGTCTTGGCTGCTTAAAGCCGTGTTAACATTTATAGCATCTATATGAGGTGTGGTGTTGTGGAAACGGCATAAATTGTTGTGGATAATGTTGGTGGTGGTATTGTTGTAGTAGTTGTTGTGGTTGTTGTACTGGGGGTGACGTTGTAGTAGTTGTAGTAGTGGTGGATGTTGTTGATGGCTTTAGCATTTGATGAATGGGTATGGCTTTATTGTCATCCGTAATACGAATTTCAATTGGTTTTGTGATCTCTTTTATTGTATTTTTGGATTATTTTCGGCTTGATGAATTTCCGGTTTGGAAGTGGTTGAAGTCGTGGCTAGAGTTTTATTGGTCGTTGATTCAGAAGTGGGCAACTGTAAAGGGGAAAGGGAAATAATGTTATTTTGAATTTGGGTTTATTTTTGGAAAAACCTAAATGTTTTTGTTTTCTTTTTTGAAGATTCCTTAGTTATAATAGCTCTTATTGCGGTTTTAATAAAAAAACGCAATTTTTGTAAATTCTAACCACTAGCAGGTTTAAATTGAAAACAGCAAAAAAAAAAACATAAATTCACAAAAAACTAAAAAACAAATTATATTGGTTATTATACATAAAAAAACTTACCTGGACAATTATATATTCTGGACAACAAACACCTGGTATATATTTGGGCGTACATCATCACGATGGAAACAAGTAACAGAACTGCATAAAATTTCTCCTCCTAAATAAGGAAAATTAAATGAAAATAAGAAAAAAAATATCTAACAAAAAACTGCATTTAATAAACCAAAGGCCATGTGTTTTAGGACAGACTATACAAGTTACAGACAGACACCTACAACACTGCCTCTGGCAACAACAACAATAAGGACTAGTACTAGTGGGTACCCAGAAAATTTAACAAAATAAAACCTACTGTTTTGAGTGAAACTTTTACACTTTACCTTGACAGTAGCAACGGTGCATGGTGTCTCCGGATCTACTAACTTATCACCATTTAAATAAGTTTTACCATCCTTTTGGCAATCTGTAAGCAAAAAAAAGAGAGATGGAAACAAAATAGAGTGAAAGAAGGGTGTTATTACGGAAACAAAATAGAATTTACTAAGAATATTTTAAAAGTTTAAACAAATATTTGCATTGCTAAAACAAAAGTTATGAACTATATGTATATAATATGTGCAACCATAACAGAGACCATAATTCAGGTGATACTTTTTTTTACCGTTATGTCCATATAGAAAAATATTAGGGTGTTTCTTTTCTCTAGACTATAGATAAGACGTGACTAGATTATAGAATGAAATATAATCTACACTGTAGACTAGACTATTGACAGACTACAGATAGACTATAGACAGAATAGACTAGACTAGATAGACTATAGACTAGGACTATAGACGGACTATAGACTAGACTATAGACTAGACTATAGACTGACTATAGACTAGACTATAGGACTAGGACTATAGACTAGACTATAGACTAGACTAGACTAGACTATAGACTAGACTATAGACTAGACTATAGACTAGACTATAGACTAGACTATAGACTAGACTATAGACTAGAGATAGACTAGACTATAGATAGACTATAGACTAGACTATGACTAGACTATAGACTAGACTATAGACTAGACTATAGACTAGACTATAGAATAGACTATAGACTAGACTATAGACTAGACTATAGACTAGACTATAGACTAGACTAGACTAGACTATAGACTAGATATAGACTAGACTATAGACTAGACTATAGACTAGACTATAGACTAGGACTATAGATAGACTATAGACTAGACATAGACTAGACTATAGCAGACTATAGACCTAGACTATAGACTAGACTATAGACTAGACTATAGACTAGACATAGACTAGACTATAGACTAGACTATAGACTAGACTATAGACTAGACTATAGAGACTATAGACTAGACTATAGACTAGACTATAGACTAGACTATAGACTAGACTAGATAGACTATAGACTAGACTATAGACTAGACTATAGACTAGACTATAGACTAGACTATAGACTAGACGATAGACTAGACTATAGACTAGACTATAGACTAGACTTAGACTAGACTATAGACTAGACTATAGACTAGACTATAGACTAGACTATAGACTAGACTATAGATAGACTATAGACTAGACTATAGACTAGACTATAGACTAGCTATAGACTAGACTATAGATAGGACTATAGACTAGACTAGACTAGACTATAGACTAGATATAGACTAGACTATAGACTAGACTATAGACTAGACTATAGACTAGACTATAGACTAGACTATAGACTAGACTATAGAATAGTCTATAGTCTAGTCTATAGTCTAGTCTATAGTCTAGTCTATAGTCTAGTCTATAGTCTAGTCTATAGTCTAGTCTATAGTCTAGTCTATAGTCTAGTCTATAGTCTAGTCTATAGTCTCTATAGTCTAGTCTATAGTCTAGTCTATAGTCTAGTCTATAGTCTAGTCTATAGTCTAGTATAGTTAGTCTATAGTCTAGTCTATAGTCTAGTTAGTAGTCTATAGTCTAGTCTATAGTCTAGTCTATAGTCTAGTCTATAGTCTAGTCTATAGTCTAGTATATAGTAGTCTAGTCTATAGTCTAGTCTAGTCTAGTCTATAGTCTAGTCTATAGTCTAGTCTATAGTTAGTCTATAGTCTAGTCTATAGTCTAGTCTATAGTCTAGTCTATAGTCTAGTCTATAGTCTAGTCTATAGTTAGTCTATAGTCTAGTCTATAGTCTAGTCTAGTCTAGTCTATAGTCTAGTCTATAGTCTAGTCTATAGTCTAGTCTATAGTCTAGTCTATAGTCTAGTCTATAGTCTAGTCTATAGTCTAGTCTATAGTCTAGTCTATAGTCTAGTCTATAGTCTAGTCTATAGTCTAGTCTATAGTCTAGTCTATAGTCTAGTCTATAGTCTAGTCTATAGTCTAGTCTATAGTCTAGTCTATAGTCTAGTCTATAGTCTAGTCTATAGTCTAGTCTATAGTCTAGTCTATAGTCTAGTCTATAGTCTAGTCTATAGTCTAGTCTATAGTCTAGTCTATAGTCTAGTCTATAGCCTAGTCTATAGTCTAGTCTATAGTCTAGTCTATAGTCTAGTCTATAGTCCAGTCTATAGTCTAGTCTATAGTCTAGTCTATAGTCTAGTCTATAGTCTGTCTATAGTCTAGTCTGTAGTCTGTCAATAGTCTAGTCTACAGTGTAGATTATATTTCATTCTATAATCTAGTCACGTCTTATCTATAGTCTAGAGAAAAGAAACACCCTAATATTTTTCTATATGGACATAACGGTAAAAAAAAGTATCACCTGAATTATGGTCTCGTTATGGTTGCACATATTATATACATAGTTCATAACTTTTGTTTTAGCAATGCAAATATTTGTTTAAACATTTTAAAATATTCTTAGTAAATTCTATTTTGTTTCCGTAATAACACCCTTCTTTCACTCTATTTTGTTCCATCTCTCTTTTTTTTGCTTACAGATTGCCAAAAGGATGGTAAAACTTATTTAAATGGTGATAAGTTAGTAGATCCGGAGACACCATGCACCGTTTGCTACTGTCAAGGTAAAGTGTAAAAGTTTCACTCAAAACAGTAGGTTTTATTTTGTTAAATTTTCTGGGTACCCACTAGTACTAGTCCTTATTGTTGTTGTTGCCAGAGGCAGTGTTGTAGGTGTCTGTCTGTAACTTGTATAGTCTGTCCTAAAACACATGGCCTTTGGTTATTAAATGCAGTTTTTTGTTAGATTTTTTTTCTTATTTTCATTTAATTTTCCTTATTTAGGAGGAGAAATTTATGCAGTTCTGTTACTTGTTTCCATCGTGATGATTGTACGCCCAAATATATACCAGGTGTTTGTTGTCCAGAATATGATAATTGTCCAGGTAAGTTTTTTATGTATAATAAAAATATAATTTGTTTTAGTTTTTGTGAATTTATGTTTTTTTTTTGCTGTTTTCAATTTAAACCTGCTAGTGGTTAGAATTACAAAATTGCGTTTTTTTATTAAAACCGCAATAAGAGCTATTATAACTAAGGAATCTTCAAAAAAGAAAAAAAAAACATTTAGGTTTTTCCAAAAATAAACCCAAATTCAAAAAACATTATTTCCCTTTCCCCTTTACAGTTGCCACTTCTGAATCAACGACCAATAAAACTCTAGCCACGACTTCAACCACTTCCAAACCGGAAATTCATCAAGCCGAAAATAATCCAAAAATAACAATAAAAGAGATCACAAAACCAATTGAAATTCGTATTACGGATGACAATAAAGCCATACCCATTCATCAAATGCTAAAGCCATCAACAACATCCACCACTACTACAACTACTACAACGTCAACCCCCAGTACAACAACCACAACAACTACTACAACAATACCACCACCAACATTATCCACAACAATTTATGCCGTTTCCACAACACCAACACCTCATATAGATGCTATAAATGTTAACACGGCTTTAAGCAGCCAAGACCATAACCAACACACAGCAGAAAGCTTTGAATTCACTGGTAGTGGAGACAACAACCAACATAGAAATGTGTGTAGTCTCGCCCAAAGTGGGTCTTAATAGTGGTGACACTTTAAAACTCAGCGCTTCTGTTGCATATCCCGCAACAGTTTTAGCTTCGGCTGCTTTAAGTTCAACATTTGCTCCCTCGGATTCTAGTCTAGAAGTAGAAGATCCTGTACCTGCACTATCGGTTTTTAGCACCCAAGGTTTACCCGAAGATCCCAGTAAAGTGAATATTAAACGTGAGTACTTTATTACCACAGAAGGTGTAGCCGCTGGTTCGGGTTCGCAAATTTTTGATGGTTTGGTAGTGGTGAATATCCTAATTCAGAGTTGATATATAGTCAGTCTTCCCAAGGCCAACAGAATACTTTTAATACCGCCCTGCAACAATCTTCGGCTGAACTAGATCCTGATACAGCGGGTAGTGATAACATTTATCACATTATTTGACCACAGATGGTCCTAGATTGACCTCAACATCGGAGAATTATTTAGCGTTAAAGGGAGTCTCAACAACGGAAAGTAAGTAAAATATAAAGTGGTGGTGTGTGATAGTCTATCAGTTATAATTTTAAATAGTTAGGTAGATAGATAGATAGATAGATAGATAGATAGATAGATAGATAGATAGATAGATAGATAGATAGATAGATAGATAGATAGATAGATAGATAGATAGATAGATAGATAGATAGATAGATATAGATAGATAGATAGATAGATAGATAGATAGATAGATAGATAGATAGATAGATAGATAGATAGAGATAGATAGATAGATAGATAGATAGATAGATAGATAGAGAGATAGATAGATAGATAGATAGATAGATAGATAGATGATAGATAGATAGATAGATAGATAGATAGATAGATAGATAGATAGATAGATAGATAGATAGATAGATAGATAGATAGATAGATAGATAGATAGATAGATAGATAGATAGATAGATAGATAGATAGATGATAGATAGATAGATAGATAGATAGATAGATAGATAGATAGATAGATAGATAGATAGATAGATAGATAGATAGATAGATAGATAGATAGATAGATAGATAGATAGATAGATAGATAGATAGATAGATAGATAGATAGATAGATAGATAGATAGATAGATAGATAGATAGATAGATAGATAGATAGATAGATAGATAGATAGATAGATAGATAGATAGATAGATAGATAGATAGAAGATAGATAGATAGATAGATAGATAGATAGATAGATAGATAGATAGATAGATAGATAGATAGATAGATAGATAGATAGATAGATAGATAGATAGATAGATAGATAGATAGATAGATAGATAGATAGATAGATAGATAGATAGATAGATAGATAGATAGATAGATAGATAGATAGATAGATAGATAGATAGATAGATAGATAGATAGATAGATAGATAGATAGATAGATAGATAGATAGATAGATAGATAGATAGATAGATAGATAGATAGATAGATAGATAGATAGATAGATAGATAGATAGATAGATAGATAGATAGATAGATAGATAGATAGATAGATAGATAGATAGATAGATAGATAGATAGATAGATAGATAGATAGATAGATAGATAGATAGATAGATAGATAGATAGATAGATAGATAGATAGATAGATAGATAGATAGATAGATAGATAGATAGATAGATAGATAGATAGATAGATAGATAGATAGATAGATAGATAGATAGATAGATAGATAGATAGATAGATAGATAGATAGATAGATAGATAGATAGATAGATAGATAGATAGATAGATAGATAGATAGATAGATAGATAGATAGATAGATAGATAGATAGATAGATAGAATAAAGTAACATATTTTTTTAATCTCTTCAGGTTCACCCTTTGATGATCTATCAGCCAGTTCTATAAGTCCTGTAGACACCAACAACAATTTGGATACAAATAAAGAAGATCCCACCACAGAGGGACCCTCTAAACAAGAACAATATTACACCAAATCAACTACCGAATCGGCTATAAACCAACATTTAGACGATGAAGACTCCGCCATACCCGTAGAAAGTAATCCAGCATATCCTTCTCTACCAGAAGATGATTTCAGTTAAGAGACAATAATTTTCAAATTAATGATTCCGATGATGTAGGCGATGAGCCCAGAAGTATAGGAGGAAGTCATGGTATAGCCGCCACTTATGAGGCCTTTAAAAGTACTAAACATTTAGATGATCATACGTATGGTAGTGGTAGCGGCAGTGGTAGTGGCATGTTGTTAGATGAATTAGTAAATATAATGCCCGTTTCCACCACCGAAGGTAGTGGAGATTTACAACAGTCCACGGAAAACTATGAGAAAACCAAATCATCAGAGGTAATACAATTTATGTACTCTGCCGAAGATTCCTCCGAAGAGACTCGTATTACCAATACAACTGATTTTAAAATGGATAAAGAGATGACTAAAACCATGAAAATAGATGATATCTTTAGAATCTGCAGAAACCAGACAACAAATGGAATTTGAAATGGGTTCGGGATCGGGTGAACTTAAATTGGCCAAACAGCAGAAAGAAAGAGAACCTACTACGGCTAGGCCAAATAAAGCAACAGCAGACATAGATATAGATGAGATGCAAGATGCCTCGGGTAATGGACCCCAAGATGATCCAAAACTAGATGTAGAAAGTTTGAAATTAGATGAAAGTGCAAATGATTCACCCACAAATCCGATAAATCATCTAAAAATAATATATATCGGTTAAGGTACAACCCGAACAAAGATAAACAATTTCATGATGATTTACATTAATAAAACTTTAGTAAAGAAAACAAAAAGCTCAACTCAAACAGAAAAAGCCCAATAGAGAGAGAAAGGAGAAAGCCGTTTATGAGTATTTTTAATTTAATTAAATTTCATTAAACATTTTTTTAAAAGCAACTGTAAATACAGAAAAGATTTATTAAAACAATTTATACTAAACTAAAGAAACGATAAATTAATTAGAATTTTTTTAGAGACTGTATTTTAAATGTTTTAATAATGATTTTATATTTAAATTAAGCTTAAAAGCTCCCTATGAAAAGAAAGAAAACATTGTTACATTTAGCAACTTTTATTTATAGTTTAAGTTTAAAGTGAGAGAAACACTAAAAAACTAATGAGAAATTTACAAGTTTTATAATCACCCAATGAGAACTGGTATTTTTAATATAAAAAAAATCAGTTATGAGATGTCATTATGTGATTATTATAATCATTGTTGCAATATTTTAAGCACTAAAGAGTTTTAAGAAAAAATAAGAAAAACATCGAGACAGATATTTAAAGAAAACAAAGTAATCAATAAAAGCTGGGCTCCCCATATGCAATAAATTCATATACACATACATACATAAAATATATTTATTTAAAGAAATTTTAATAAAAAGCTTAAGAGAGCAAAATAATCTTTAAAAGGATATTGTGTCAAGTGTGCCACACATGGTTTAAGACAGAGAGTCAAGTTACAGAGGACTTTTGAGTTTTTACATAGATTAAAGTTTTGAATGTTCTGATCAGTAAAAGCTTTTTTATAAGAAAAGCTTTCAAGGAAATCTGTTCAAATTTAAAGCTAAAAGCTTTTTTCAACACCACAATTGTTACTTGACTCTAAAGCTTTTCTATTAATTCTCTTATTATAAAAAAAAACACAACAACAACAAAAACTCCTAAAAATCGTCTTTAACATTTCTTTAGTCTCAAACTAAACATTTCAAAGTTTGCAAAATTACAACTCATAAACGATAATCGCTTTCCAATTGAACAAAAGAATTATCAGTTATAAGTTGTCATTATGTAATCATTGATTTCTATTATTAATTTTTTTTCGCTTAACATTTTTGTTTTAGGAAATTATTATTATAACTATTATTCAAAATTTTAGTTTTTTTAAATTCATAATTTTGATTTTGTTTTCATTTTTATTAGCTACGGCATAAAAGCTTTATTTTATTTGTCATATTTAATCATTTAGACTGAATTGAATAAAAGTTTCTTTATTATTTTTAATTTTATAATTATCATTCATATTTTTAATTTAAATTCATATTTAATTATTATTATTAAAAACATATTTTTAGTTTTATTATTAATGCATAAATATAATTTAAAACAATCAAACAAAAAAGTCATTTCTTTTAGGTATTTTTTTTTTTTTTTCTCTTTTTTTTTTATAATTAATTCATGATTTAATTTTTATGTCATAATTTCATTAATATTTAACATTGCAAAAAAAACACTAGAAATATAAAACAAATCCTTTTAAACACCCTTACCTTGTCCTCAATTCCTTAAGCCCTTTCCTAAGCATTCATTACATTTTTTTAATTATAAAGCGCAAAGTTCATTTTAGTTTTTAATTTCGTTTAAGTTATTTTTAAATTATTTTAAAAGAAAAATCATTTTAACGTGCATTAATTAAGTTAATTTTGGTTTTTTTGCCTAAACTAAAAAAAATAAATTTAGTTTATTTTTTAAATAATTATTATGAAATATCTAAAGAAATGAATTTGTAAGTTAATTAATTGATTTTAGTGAATAAAATATAAATAAAAAAAAAAAAAAAAAAAAAAAAAACAAAAGAGTTTTATTTAAAATGTTATTTTGCGCCTCGGGATCAGAACGAATATCTATTCTAATACTTTTCAATCACCTTTAAGAAACTCTGCCTAATATTATCGTTTTATTTAGCCAAATTAACTGAGGGACACACATAAATGTTTATCAACAGTAGCAACTGTAATTTGGTAGTTCAAATCAGGCATGGAAAACTGAAATTTTTAAATAGTACTAACTTATAAAAAAAACAGTGCATTTTTAGGTTGTAATGTGCTAAACTAACTGTTCTGTAGGCTAAATAACAGACTACGCATACTAGTATAGACTAGACTATTGACTAGACTAGACTATAGACTAGACTATAGACTAGACTATAGACTAGACTATAGACTAGACTATGACTAGACTATAGACT